CCGCCCTCCCGGTGCTCGCAGGTTTCTCAGCAGCCTATAACGTCTGTCTGCTTATTACAAAATGTCCTGATTAAAAGCAAATGGTGATTATCTACAATGAAAAAAATATATAAACACCCCATGTCAAATTTAAGAGTTTATGAACATTTGGGATATGCAATATAGAGAAACTCAAAATATATTTTCAATAATTACTGACAATTAGGTTGTCAGTAATTATTTAAAATTATTTAAAATAAAAGTTGGATGTAAAATTATACACAACTCAAGAGAAATATTCCTTTTGTTCAATAAATGTCAGCAAATGCTCATTTACAGTTGTTAACTCCACACGGCAACAATATTAGACATGGGGTGTTTATATTTTTGTTCAGTATAGTTGTGTTTCATGTTATTTTGTTCAGTTAAAACAGCACGGCACACCTCGACAACAACTGCTTATTGACTTAAAAAAGACGGTGCTTACTGATTGGATTGGTGGTTTGATTTACAGACTGGGACATTTTACACAGGTGGTTCACAGAGGCATAAAAAATGCTGCTTGAAAAAATGTTTATTGATGTTTATACATGCTAGCTGCGGTGGAAATATTACAAAGAATAATGTAAGCAACTCAAGTAAAACTACAGTTAGTATTAGCATTTGATACTTATTTGCACATAGTACCTCATTAAAATTATTGTCATAGTACCGGCAAGAACTTAAAACTACTTTCACCCCTGCTTATATTATTACCAAAAACATGAAGCTGCAAAAATATGAAGTTGATCACTTCCAACAACCTACTTTAAGTATTTTTAAGTGTGATTTTTGTTTTGTTTGTTTGTTTTGTCCATTTTAATTTCCAAGGATTTCTACATGAACATATTTTTCTCTGCTTGTGTCTGGGTCTTTATGCAAATATCTGGTGTAAAGCAGCTTTTCAAAAAATCTCTGTGCTGTTCTTTCACCCAGGTCCACAACTGTTTATCTATGGGTGTTGCTGTTGGCTTGGGGAAGGTGAAACTCTTTCATGTCCAGAAGCCTTGCATTGGTGTTCTAATAAACAAGGACCTTGCCACTGGCTACAGCTCTGGTCTCCACCAGCATTTCACAGAGGTGTCAGGAGGAAATGGTTGGTTGGGGGAGTTTTCAATTTCCCAAAATGATTCCATGGGCTTCATGAAGTGGCTAAAGAGCCTGAAAGAACATCCAGATGTTGTTTCGTACTCCCTTCGATCTCTCTATCATCTCATGCCGAATGAGCTCCTAAAGGCAGCAGTGAAAGCTGCTATTGAGCAGTATTTGAAGGACAATGCTTTGAAGAAATCACCCGAAGAGCCACACTGTGAGGGATCTACTCCTGATTTGTCCTCTAATTGCTGCCCTCTGCACGCCTCAAGGGGAACTCTATCAGTGACCATTGTTCGAGGCTGGGATCTCAAAGGAGATCTGGTTGCACAAACTGATGGGTGGGTTGATGCAAAGGTAAAAAACAAAGACCTTATGGAACCTGATGAGCACACCTTTTATATGGCTCCTCTTTTGTTCACAGCTATGCCAAGATGTTCTATGGTTCATTTCAACGCAGGACCAAAATCATCAAGTCCAATAATCCGAAGTGGAACGCTGGGTTTAATTTGGGCAAGGTCAGTAAACATTATCATCACAGATTAGCTGAAAAAGCTCAACAACAGACAAACTGATCCATTTACTCTGCTGATGCAGAAGAATTTATAGAGTTAATACCAGCATCTATTTTTGCAAAAATAAATATTAGATTACCAGAAGTGAGGAGAATTGGTCTTTTATGCATCAGTCTTGAAAGAAAGCTGATCTATTCTTTGGTGCCATCAAAACTATTTGTTAGCAAACATTTGATATTGGGTCAAATATCATTTAATATCAGAAATCCATTGTAGTTTCAATTTCAACTAGATGATGTTAAATGATTGATCATGAACTAATTTGTCCTTCAGTTTGCTCACATGAACCAGCAGCCACAATAACAAGAAAAGAGCACCTCCCTTTAGGCCCGACTCGTTCTTGTTTCGGTTCTCAGAACCAACCTGGGTGTCTGTGGACATGCGGCTCCCACACTCACTGCTCTGCTTAACTTGTTGTTGAGACAGGAAGTGCTGACCCTCTCTTATTGCTTTTACAAATAAATCATGAGCATAAAAACTTGGCTTTCCAAACAACAAATGTACAAAATTAACCTTCAATGTCAAAGTAAAAACTTTTCTCCCAATTCTTTTCTCTGTCTTACTGATTGCTTAGTTTTTATTTTTAAAAACCTGTCTGAAATGCATAAATCAAATAAAAGTATAAAATGATATGTATTGCAGACAAACTGCATATTCTGAACTTGGGGAATGTACAATCAACTCCATTTCTAGATCCAAGCCAGGCTGCAGACTCTTTATGTTTTGGGATACTGGGTCAGCACCTGAATGAAAAAGTATTTGGTTTTACTTGAATAGACCATGCACATTTCATGGTGTTTATGTTCGAGTACAAATAAAAGTAAAAGCAGAAAATAATCTGAAAATATTTGAACAGAAACCATTTTACCCATATATTGTGTAAACAGACACAGCCTAGCTGATGTATTTCATATCTTGTGCTGTTGTGTTTCGGCTAACATTACTCTGCATTTATCAACTTTTGAGATGACTGGAAAACATTTTTATTTTCTATATCACCTAAATAATTTGACTTTGAATGAGAAAATACGCATCTGAATGATCCTCCATTCAAATTTTCTCATGAAGGTTGACACAAGCCTGGCTCTGAAGATTGAGGTTTGGGATGAAGATCCGAAATATGACGACCTTCTCGTTCACTGTGAGAAGTACCTGAGCCCTGGCACTCACACTTTCACGTGCAAAGGAGATTATGGAAGCGTTGAGGCTAAATACACACTGACCTGTGACCCGTATCTGACTGGAGAACAGTGCAGACGTTATAAACCATTTCCTTAGTGACAGGAGATTGAAGAGGTTTGGGAATGAAAGCATTTCATTTCATCAGATAACATTAACTCACTAAATCTGGTAGAAACTGACAATTTATATTTAATTACTTGACATTGTTAAAGACCTACCTAAATATGTATTTCTCATACAATGAAAAAAATTCAAGATTCTCTGTAACAATCACAAGAAATAACTATGCTTTAATATATGCAATCGGAAATTGTGTTCTCTTTAATGACAATAACATTTTTGAAATTGCTACAAATTGTAGACTGTATATTTTTGACAAATCTTGTATTAGTTGTATGAATTACGACTCATATGTGTTAATATAAAAGAGAGAGAGACGTAGTTACGTTACAGGACGTGTCACAAAACTATTTGGTCAAGACCTTCTGTATGCAGCAAAGCGAAGAACCAGGGGACAAATTTTTCAACCTGATCATTGTTTCCTTACAGTTTTATGGTTAAAATCAAGAGGTGCTGATGAAAAGTATTAATTGAAATTATCTTTCATCATTTAGTCATGTTTGAAACAGTGAAGAGATCTCATGAGCCAGAATGTTAAATGTATTTTTTAATTATTATTATTACTATTTATTACATAAAAAGTCCAGGTATCACAGTTTCACAGTTTTCCTATAGAAGAGCTTGACCTTAATCCTTTTGGAAGACAGAAAGGGGGAACAAAAATCTTAATTCCCTTCTGGCCTGCGATGATTTAGAAAAGCAAAAAGGTTTTCCTGTTATTTCTTGACCTAACACTGCACACATCATTTTAATGGCTTGTTTGAAGTTACTTTCAACTATGTTATATGTTGTATTGGAATGCATTTTTTTACTAAATAAATTAGTAGGATAACTGTAACTCCATCTCTCTAAGTCTTTAGAATAGGCAGCACAAACCACAGCAGCTTCCAGTCCTCTCAGTCCTACCTTTGAGGAAACAGATCCTTATTCTGAAAACATCCAGCTTCCCTCACTGTTTGCTCCTATGTCACTTGTGTCCAATGTTATCTGTAAAATAACTGTCCTAAAATGTTCCAAACTGATCTAAGGTCAAACAGTCTGCTGCAAGTCATTTAAAAAGTAGACAATGTTCACACAAACCAGCACTTCAAGTTCAACTTCTGTAGCATAAAACCAAACCTTGGGATTCTGGAGAAGCCAAAATAATTAAATAATGATGGAGTTCACTGTAACAACCTCGCTCTGAATGTGTGAAGCAAAAGCAGCTATCAGAGTCCAAGAGGCTTAATTTAAGTAAAAAACAACAATAAAAACAGAATATAGAGTTGACTGACGGTAGAAATGAGTGTAAATTGCTCTAATGGCTGCAGTAGGGCTGGGTGATGGGGCTTAAAAATTAAATATTTATTTAATACTAGGTCTGGCGTTAATCCATTTTTGTCTTCTTTCTTTTCTAAAAAATAAATTACAAGTGAGAGAAAATAATTTCAATATTAGGGCTAGTTTACAAAGATATTGTTTCATTATGAGAATATCGTTGAACTATTAGACTATGCAATTCTACCAGACAAAATCATCTCAACATTAAGAGGAAAAAAAGTTATTTTAATGAGAAAAAAATACAACAGTGTATTAGGGCCACAAAAAATAGAAAAAAGGAGTTCATTCCACCAAAACTAAGAAATCTTGAGAATGATATCAGAAATTTCTAGAAAAAAACCCCAGAATTTTCTTAGCTCCAAATGTCGAAAATTAAAGTAGAAAATTAGAAGAAACAACAATTCTGAAATTAATCTCAAAATTTCAGATTTTTTTTCTACCTACCATGGCCCAAATATGCCATTGTAAAAATAGCTTAATATTAACACAATCGATTCAAAGTCTTACTACTTGTCATAAATTAATGCTAATGTGTTAAAAGATCAAGTATTTCTATAAAGTAATAAGTATTATCTGTATTTGTAAAACTTATACCAAAGTATCACTTAAATTTTAAATTTTTTCTTTGGAAGTTCTTATAGAATTATTACTTTATTCTTATAATATTATGACTGTATTGTCATATGACTGCATTCTTGTAATATTGTGGCTGTATTCTCATAAATAACAATTTAAAAACTGACCCAAATACTTTGTCATTTTGCCTAAATTCAAAACTCAAAAAAATCAAAGCTGTAAGTCAAGCAAGATGGCTGCCCTCTGCATGGTAATATCACTCTTAACTATGAACCCCAAGGTGAAAAAAAAATCTAACATTTGATTCATTGCCCAGCCCTGACGTCGAGCTGTCATGTTCATCGTGATCTGATATAATACAAGCTGCAAAACATTAACATAAATGGGAGTCAGAGGACTACCTGGCCCTAATTTTCAAATTCAGCAGCTGCAGCTTTAGGAGGACAGGAAGTTGGAGGAAGCTACCAATCAGAAGCATGAGAAGTGGAAATGTCCAGTAGAGAACTTCGTCTAAGCTGTGGCATAAACACATTAAATGAGGCATCCGAATTCAGTAAAAGTCAGCAGACTTCAGCTGATTCATGTGAGGAGGAACTCAAACATGAAGTGCAATAAGCAGTATGTGGGTGGGGCGTCCATCTTGTCCTCAGACATCTGCAGGAACAAGAAAGGAAATTCATCCTGCGATGCGACGAATGTCACAACGATTCATCCGAGGGTTTTGGGGAAAAAAACAGAAAAAACCTGAAAAGCTCAACAGCAAAAATCAAAGTCAAGGTTTAGCAGGATGAAAAAAAAATTATGCTTTGATGTTGGGAAAACGTTGCTGAGGTGACTCCCATCATCATCATCATCATCTGGGCCGGAGCTTCTTCCTCTGTTACCTCTTCTCCTTCAACATCAGGCGGAAGCTGTGTAGCTGATATATACTGGTGGACAACCTGTGACAGCAAAGAAAGATTACACTGAGCCAACTGGACTGTTTAGCCACACAGCAACGGTTGCTATGGGAACCTACCTGCCGAAAGCATTCATTAAAGCCACTATTTCCTGCCGGCTGAGCTGGAAGCCCTTCGACGGGCTGTGTTCTGATAAGTTCTGGATCTCCTTTTCAGAGAAGAGGATCTTCAGAGCCGTGCCCAGACCCTGAGTCTGCACGCAACAGAAAGCTGATTAAGTTGGCAGAAAAAAAAACTTTTTACACAGATTAGAAGAAAATTATTGAGGTATCATCAAGTCAACTCTTTCTACAAACCTAAACTCCAGAAAAGTTAAAGTGAAAATTAAAAGATGTTCCATCCATCCATCCATCCATTCATTCATTTTCTGTACACCCTTGTCTTTTAGTGGGGTCGGGAGAGGTGCTGGTGCCTATCTTCAGCTTATGTTCCAGGCAAGAGGCAGGGCACACCCTGGACAGGTCGCCAGTCTGTCACAGGGCAACACAGAGACTTACTTTGACCTTATTCTGAAAATATTTTTGACTTTATTCTGAAAATACTTTGACTTTACTCTGGCAA